CGGTTCGAAGTTACCGATTGCTGGGGTTCACGCACGGCCTCAAGTTTAATGGCAGATGATGGCAACCACTTATCCATAGGGCACCTGTTACTTTCCAGAACCAAACCTGCTTTCCTGTCGTCAAACTTCATATTTCCCTTAGAACAGTGTTGTCTGGAAATAAAATACTCGAACTGCAATTCTAGAGAAGAATTTAGGAACTTTTGAGGAAATTGAACTTTAATCGGCCATCCATACAGACTGCTGATTAAAGCATAAAGAACAATTTTTCATGCCGTCATAGCTACCCTCTTAACGGGCGATGACCACTCTTGGGAAGACTGAAGGAAACCCAGGTGATGAAGTAAAAAAGTGAAATAAGTTTAAATGAAAAGAAAGTAACATCCTTCTTGATGGCTGCTTGGGTAATCAAGATTTTGAGATCAAGCATGGCGAACTTGCGGTAAATTGTGCGTTCCTGCCTTCATCAATCTAAACGGAGGATGAGGTTTCTTTTTACCAGGCACCACAATTACTCAGACCGGTAAATTTGACTGATTCCTCTTTGCAATTAGCGGGAATCGTCACTAGCAATTATCGCGAGATGGACACTGCTCTGTGGTGAGGAAGAGAAACCGCTGGAGAACAAGTGACTTTGCCAAAGATGGCGGATGAAACCCTGAAATAGGCCAACCTCACGGAGCAGTTACAAAAGCCTCATTCGGTTGGGTTGAAGGACAAACAGACGTTCTTTCCAAGACGCGTGGCAGTCGCATGCAGTAGCCAAAGCCACAGCCAGTTGCCAACGTTGGGAAAAATCGAGAACACAGAGAAAAATTGCTCTCAGTCCCCTACAAGTGACTGATTACGGCGGACTGCACTGCAACGTTGATGGATTGGTGCCCAAAGGGCAGCAAGCGCTCACTTGGAGAACTCTGGCTCAGATGAGGCGAAAACTGAGGAAAGTTGTGGCAACAAGTACGATATGAAAAACCCGTATTTCGGACACGTCCAGTTCTTCGCAGTGAAGCACAGCCTCATTAAACGCCACATAATCTGTTTGGGACGAAATAGAATTTTCCGAACGGTAACAGATGGGAAAACAAGAAAATCTCTGCAAAGAAGTAAAGTGATGAATGTGCACATGAGCAGACAGCAACCAATCAACATCTGTTATTATATCCTGGTATGGCTGTCGTAGGCACACAATAACAAACAATGGTAAACTTTCGAATCTGTTCATCGATGAGGATGAGGGAGCAACTAAATTGAGAGTCATATTCAAAAATTCTTTCCCGCCACCACTGGAAACCAATTGCAACTGAAACGAACAATCCTTTGTCCTTTGTGCGCAATCTCGGAGACCCTGTACCAATGAAGGCATGTCTTCCCAATCGCTGATTGCCAAAGCAAATTTGGTCATTTGGTCACTCCTTAGATTTAACAAATATTTATTTGATATGCCAAATCGTCGCGGATCCGACCACCCGTTAAGTCAACGGTGGCCTAACACTCTTTACAGCATCATCGACTTTCTCAAGTAATAAAATAAAATTAACACCGTGGGCGCTCAAGCACTATTGAAGCTGGACATCCATAAACGGCTTTAAAACGGTTTTAGAAGCATCGTGCGATTTTACCATAAGCTCCCGAGGCTCGACGTAATCATTCTCTACCGCTGCAATCGTAGAAATCAACTGAAGCTGAACGAAGATCAACGTCGATTTATTGTTTATGAAATAAATTTAGACTCATTATTCGAATCCCCGCAAAGTATGCTTGAAATGTCATATAAAGTAACGTAAGAGTACATCCATAATTTGCATTAATGAGATATTTTATTACCTTGTTTATACAAAGACATTTAAGCCATTATTTGATAGCTTAATCCAGTTTATTATAGTACAACTTGTTGGATACGGTAAACGAAATACGGATATGCGTCAGTTGAGCAGTTGTGTCCGATGGCGCCGTAATGGACCTTTTTATACGTGCCTAACCATGATCCACGAAGCCTCTCGGCGTGTGTTCTGTGACGTGTCTTTTTCGTCCGCGAACTCAATTTGTGCCATATGGCCGCGGTCGGCTGAGTTCGAGACCGCCGGCTATTCAAGCGGGCGGTTATGTATTAAATTAGCCACCATCTGCCGTCGTAACAGCATGGCGACTGTTAACTTGGACCGTCGGAAACGAATGACGAAAAATTTCGTTGAAACGCGACGACCACGCGCTCCAGGACAGGGCAAAGAGTTTCGACAGCGACGACACCTGCTCGTCGACGACCTCGTGTCCCTCCCCGACCGAGCCGTACGTGCTGTGATCCACGTGTCTTTGAGGACGAACGAGCAGGCGGTAATGTGACACCTGATTTTCTCCGGGGCCGCGTCGAGGCGTCGACCAGCGCTTTGCATCGTTTAAAGACGATTGCGGCACCTGTTCCGGATTGTCATAAAAGCGAGAGGCTTAAATGTGACCTTTAAGTGCAAACCAAGGCGACGATGACCGTAGAGCCTTTCGACAGATGGACAGATGGCCGATCGAATCGACTACCGATGACCACTGTCCGGCAAGCAGAAGGACGAATTCGTTGTGCCGTAACGCCATCGAATATGTATGACGTACGCGCACACTGCCGGATACACGTCTCATTGGAGGTTGCGGTCACCGCCGACAGAGTCAAGGTTTCTAAAGATGACATTGACGGGTGCGAATCACGTTTCTGGTGTCAAGGTGCCACGAGCACTGCGAGCTGCTGTTACACGTTACGTCAGTCGTTCTCTCAATTGTTCGTCGTGCAGTGCTTGAGACAATCATTGTTATGAACTCTCTGGGCTGCTGGATATTGCACTGTCTAGTCATTTTTTTTGGGGGGGGGCATTGTATGAAGGAAGAATAACCCAATTAAAACAGAAAAATGTTCGTGAAACAAACAGCTGATTTCATGTCTTTGACAAAATCCCATGTAAGCTATCGCCAGCAAACCTCTGCCATCAAATTAAAAAGACATACCTTAATTTTCTTAAAAATATGATATAAAGCTGAACAATTCACATTAATACTGGAGGCACGGGTACTCAAAAATGTGTGGCACAACGGTCAAGCACATTTTTGCTGTGTGTGTGATTTTTTTTATATTTCGGTCTATTTAACAAAGCTGTCTGGCGCATAACAGTACAGAGAAAAAGAGATCAAAACGAAGGGTGACAGGCTGAGAGTTCGAGCTGCAGTGAAGGGGCGTTGGGCGTTTCTGTTGCCATGTCAACCGTCATCAAGTTCATTAACCCCTCCTTAAGTTGCTACTCCGCCTGTGTGAGTACCAACCGGCAAACGAAATAGTTAGTGACAATACTTATGCGTAGTTAAACGAATGGTTGCACTGGGAAAACCAACACTGTCTCTTATCCGGAAGTGGAATTGATTGGGGCGCACGTAGGCGTGCAAACTGAATTTTCCCTTCCATTCATTTCCAAAGCCCCCGATTCCCTTCGGGTAGCAGGGACAGCAGTTTCAGGAGGTTTTCGCAGTGAACCCGTCCCTCTAGCAATCAGGTATAGAGTATGAAGCTGGCAGGGAGACGAATTTGAAAGGTCACAATCTCTTCTGTTATTCAGGATACTTGGCGCGTACCTTGTGAACAAGGTAGTGCCCTGAGATAAGTCATTCAGCCAGCCAGTCAGTCAGTTTCGATGACCTTTCGTGTATCGGCGGATATAGCGTCAGACCGTGCGTGTCTCGAACGTTCGCGATCTTCTGTCAACGTTTTAGCCATGGCAAAGAATAGCTCATGTGGAGCAGAATCCGTCGAACAACTTAGCCGGCTTATTTTTGGCCTTCCCTGAGATCTTTGGTTTGTCGGTTCAGCAAGTCGTAGTTGTTCCGCTTTGCTTTCCAGAGGCATTCGCAAAATGAGCCTCATCCATCGCCGTTTTGCGATTCATCAGAATAATAACTCTCTGTCGTGATTCAATGGTTTTTGGTGCAAGGCCAAGGTCGATCATTAAATTACTTTTTATTTATACCGTCGGTATTTCGGCTACATGCAAATCGCTACCTTAGAGACAAACAAGTAAAGCCTTGACGGATGCCGTTTTTACCTGGTTGCAATAGTGACTTACCAAGTCGCACGTATTGCAAGGTGCGTGGCAGAGAATATGGCAAATCACGTGGTCTGTTGTATTCTCAATCTCTGCGGTATCCGCGAACACATGTCTGAAACCTAAAGCGGTGGATTAACATGGAACTGGTTATCAGGCATTGCAAGAATGCTTCATGGCTCCTACACAAATCTGCATGATTGAAGGACAGCAAACACGGAAGAAAAATTTCGTAGTTATCTTGCCTCTTAAGTCATCAAAAGGACATGATATGTGAGTTGATCCCTTATTCAGGTGATCACGTGATGTGCTTTGAACTTACTTTATTGTTTTAGGTCATAGTAGTCATGAATAGCATTGGACTCCATTTAAAAATAACTTTTAAATTATGGACTATATCTTTAAGCTAAATTTTCTGATCCAAAAAATTGCAGCGATTAAGAGGGTGATATTTTCTTTCACATTACTCATCAAGTATTGTGTGTTTGACCCTGTTCTTCTTGTCCATGAGTAGTTTCTTAATTCTCCCTCTGTTTAGAATTTACAAGACATACTGAATAGGTTTCGTTATTCCGTGTTTATGAGTTAACGCTGAAGGTGGTTTCCAATCTCAATCCTTTTCGTCTGGCTATATAGCGTGGGTATCTTAAAAAATGCTTTAAAGTCTTTAAACGCTGTGTCGACCCTTGTCGTGATACTGGAATATGCCCTCATATGTACTTCGCCTTTCATGAATCATCTGATCCCGTACTTTCGACCCGACCTATTCTCACAAGTTTGACTCTGAGGTTCGATTATGGGCCAGCGGAATATGAATGATTTTGACATCCTTCTTAGGCTGTTCAACGACATAGTTCGTTGTATTTGTAAGCCATGCAGTACGAGATACAGTCATAAATGCTGTCGAGGTTATTCATTATGCATTCTCGATTTTTGCCTATTCTCATTTTGACTCAGTACAACTCTTCTCTAGCCAAGAAACTCAACTGCTGAAGCCCAGCACGGGAGTCCGACTATAATTCAGTGGACGTCGACCACTGCATTTGATCAGTACATTTCGCTCTGATCGGTTTTGGCAATTTCACAGGTACTCATGTCCGTTTACCTCGTTTCAGCCTTCAGTTCTTACGAGGGTCATTACTAACTAGCTTTAAGTCTGGGTAGTAAAAGGCACGCCTGACAGTGAACTTTTTCACACTGTCCTCAATTTCAAGCAGTCTCAGTAAAAAAGCAGTGGGACGAACAAAGTTAGCGACTGATAATCGCACTCCCTGCAGTCATTTAGCTGTGTAATAGTCACTGCACCATATCAGTGTGCGTCTGTCCTCGACTTGTAGACATCGGTCGCAGGACATGTGTCC